TTAAATAAATTAAATACAATTTTGCCATTAAAAAGAAGGGAGATTATATACATGCAAACATTGAATATACTGATACTTGAAAGAAATATACTGCAAAAGGGCAACTATATAATAGTCCTACCATGTTTTTAAAAAGATAGAAAAACAGAAAGTGCACAAAAGCAAGCCTAGGAGAGATTTCCAAAAAGAGGAGAGGAGTAAGAGGCCCTGCATGACTGCCTTAGTCCTCCTGCACTCCCAGTCCTTCCAGCCACCCTAGCTTGTCTAGCGAAGCCTGGTTTTACAACTTCCCTTCCCTCTCCCATCAGCTCTAAGTCCACATTTGAGCAATTTCATCTACGTTCAGAAAATCATTTTTCATTTTCTCCTTTTTTTTTCTTTTTACTTAAGTTTATTATGAAAATGTACATGACCTGATTTTTACATCATGGTAAAAACGGGCCTGTTGACAAGGGGACATGGGTTTTCCTGTTGAAGAGCCATTATACTCGTTTCAAGGCTTCTAACATGATGATACTGTTTCCTCGTATTACCACCATTCCAGTAGTGTTCTGTTGCCCACTAGTTGCCATCTCCACACATTCGTCTATCACAAGATTCATAAATGGATCAAATCCCCACAATATTCCTTGGACATGTCTACCACCATTTAATTTTAATGATAATTTCTTGTCCATAAATTTTTTTCAATTCGGGAGGGTGAGCTTTGCTCATGGTACCAACTCGGCGGGCTCAGAGATTCATTTTCATTTCTCCTTCTATCATTAATATCCAATGAATTCTCAATTCCAGATTCTTTTTTAAGAATTATTTAATTTTATTTATTTATTTATTTTAATTTGACTAGAGAGAGAGATAGAGAGGAAATGTGAGAAAGCAAGCCACCAGGTCCAGGACTTGAACCACGCACAATTGGCCATGTGGGAGTCAGTGCCCTAACCAACATACAGCCCCTCAGTTCCAGATTCTACCATAGAATTTTCTTTGCCTCTACCCTTAGCAATATCCTCCCCACTCCCCACACTCACATGAACATATATGTCCTACATGGATAACAACTTCACATTTTCTAACCTCAGCAAACAATTCCTACCACCATCACATTCTCCATAAGATAATTGTAAACTTTTTCTACAGTAAGGTCCCTTTCCCTTGTATAAGCAGGACATCACGCTTTGCTTCTCTGTGTTTAAAAATGGCTCTTCATACTCACACATACTCTCTATTGTATATCATATTTTCCCATTGTTTGTCTCAAAAAAACAAGTCTCTTATCTTCTTGTAAAACTAAGATAAATCTTTGACATCTCTTTCCTTATATTTTCAAAAGCCCTTGTTCTATATGTTTGCTTTCTATTTCTTATATATTACTGTTCTCCCCATGCACTGGCTTTTTCTTCTAAGTATAAAGGAATATTAAGATTGCTCCTATCTTTAAAAAAGAAAAAAGGCAAAGAAAAGGCGGGGGGGGGGGTCCCCTG